GTAGTACAAGCAGTAACTATTAATATTTTTCAGTCATATGTTTGGATATTTGCCAACAGTGGAAGGTGCCCATGGCATTAATAAGTACATAGGAGTGTAATCAGATCGAATATGGATGGATACCGTTGATCTCATATTTGTTTTTATATTTCCCTTGGATTTGGAGTAGAACACGGATAACTATCGAATATTGATGTATATGCAGATGGTTTGGGTTACAAATATGAATAAATGTGGATTGAATATGGAATGAGTCGAATCCCAACAATGTCGGTCACGAATATTTCATTCGATATTGAGTATAAGCAACCTTTGTATATATGAAACATATAGCAATCATCCAAGCGCTCCATGATTCCAAATTCTAACAAATTGTGCTTAAAGAAGTGAAATAATATAATAGATAACGTATCAATTGTCCAATTGCGCATTGGCATGATATATCCAAATCTGAAGTCTTTTTGGTACTTGATTTACGCAGCATTCTAACTTATTACATACATAGTGACACTAAAGAGCCCATTCGCATTCATATCTAGGTTCAAACAACTCGTATATTGTTAGGAATTTTTTTTATTATCATAAAATACATGGCAGAACTAAAACAAATATATCTATTACCACCTAAAATATTATTAACGTTATCGTCGGATGAATTAATCGCTCTGCCCTCACGCCGCGGGGGTCCTCAAGCTCTTAATGCAGGCTCCAGCGTTGCCCGGCTAACCAATCACGAAGTCCAAATCCGGAACGTGCACACTCCCGTGTCATCGTCGTACGTACGGCCGTTGCCCGGCTAACCAGTCACGAGTCCAAGTCCGGTACGTGTGCACACTGCCGTGATGCCGGGTCGGCTCCGATGTCCGACAGCCACCTCGCCTAAACGAAGGGGCGTATATATATTATATTAGTTAATAATTCCAAATCCCAAACAGATTTGACGCAAGCAGCCACATCGCCAGATGTTCCGTACAACATATTAGAAAATTGCTTTTTTAAACACGGGTTCATACTTTTTTTAAAAAAAACACACGCGCTCGTACTTAAAGTACTATATCATTGTTACGTATCCGTGCAACGCATGGATATTTATCTAATAAAAGAAAAAAGAACAAGAAATATAAAAGTTAGGATGTTGACTCCATAAGAAAGGACAAAACAAAATAAATATAAATAATACATCGCTATAATTAATATATAGGAAACATAAGAGCTGCGCTAGCAGGCTAATACGCACGCAACATACAATAGCAACACGCCAACACCATAGCAGCCAGCTGCCCAGCCATAGGATGATAGGAGTAGAACTTTAGGGCCTGTTTGGTTAGAAGTATGGGGAACTTGCCTGGTAAAAAGTGATGCCTGGAAGTTGTCTGGAAAGTTGATGGTTTTTTGTCTGGCGAGGTAATTCTGAAGAAAAGCTGTTTGGTTGGAGGCATGTGCCTGAGAATGTTAATAAGAGGAGATATTCATAATATCAGTGTGTTAACTGATGTTTGTGATATATAATTAGCATATAGCTTTTGCAGTTTTACTAAAAAATATATTTGTATAAATATTTTAATTAGTTAAATAAATATAGAATTATTTATAAATCTAAAAACGTTATTTTAATTAGATTTATTTTAGATTATTAAGCTAATAAAATAGAAATAAATATGTATTCATATTAAATTAATCCATAATGGTACACGTTTGCCTTAATAAAATAGCTAATGTACTTTTGCCTTAATTATAAGTAGCTAATGCATGGTAGTTAAATAGCTAAAGCAATCAAATCAGTGGAGTAGTACTGAACCAGGCAAAGAAGCAGCAGGAGCCAGATGACCGTTTTTCTACGCCTGGAGTCCCGCCGAAGATACCTGGGGCAGGCAACCCACCAGATCTGCAACCAAACAAGGTGCAGTCAACTTTCAGGCAAGTTACACGCGAGGCATTTTTCTCCCAGGGTTCCATCCAAACATGCCCTTAGAATGTGTTTGGAACACCCTGAGCCAGGCAGCATCACCTAAGGGTTTACCTCCGTAAAAAAAAAAAAGCATCAACCAATAATGAAACTACTTTACAAAATATAGAAATGTAACTCATCCAGTTCCAAAGAACCAAAGTTAGAGAATAGACTATCGCAAAAATAAATAAAAATTTAAAACACAAACTAAAAATATAATATTAAGGGCATATTTGGAAATCATAGTTTTAGAAAATTAAGGTATTAAAAACATGTGGTTTATAAGTCAAAGACTTACAAAACCATGGTTTAGTAAAAAGTGGTCCAAGTGGAGTTTTCCAAAAGACTGTATTTTTAGCAATATCGTGGTCTTATAAACTAGAAGGTTTGTTGCTTCAAACACCCCATATATAACTTTTGAAAACCATAGTACTTTTGTAATATTTAGAAAACTTTGAATCCAAATAGGGCCTAATAAACTGCTTCTGAGATCCTATGTGGTTGCCAAGGCATTGCACACCCATAACAAAGATCAAAGAGGTCTATACTGATCTAGCAATTAACAATACAAGTGTTCAATATCTCTGCATTGAAAATTATTTAAGAATTTCTTGCTTTAGAGTTTAGAATATCCAATGAAATTTTGACAAAGATTATATATATGAGAGGTAGGATAAACTGGAATTTTGATACATGCAACACTTTCTAAATGGGTAGCAACAACTTTGCTTCAAGGAAGGAGTCTGCAATGTCCCTATTAGTATCAACAAATGCAATCATGTTCTATATTCGCTACACGAAAGTTTGCAGTTGCCGCTTCCAAGAGTAAGGATACGTACTGTATATAGGGACGTGTCCTTTTATATAGAGGAAAAAAACAAAGATAATGAGATCATAGCATTTTTCGGTATCAGTCTTTTTTACCGTCAGGGAAAAAAGATAGCAAGCCGGAGTAACACGTGGCTCAGAACAATGTAAGAGTTATACCTTCCAGCTAATCTACATAGATGAGACCCGCACGACTGTCTACTCTTATCCAACCTTTTGTTATCATTATCTTCGAAAGCTTGCAATAAGAAAACAAGGAACAATAAACACACAGCTATGTAGTATCCTAAATTTTAGGAAGCTGTCGAGATTTTTATTTGTGATGATGACCAAAATCGAAGAAGATGTGCACGCGTGTTGTCCATTGACTTCTCTGAACCAGGGTATGTTGACAAGAAAACGGATGAGGTTATAGGGCTGGCTATTGAGTGTAAGGAAAAGAAACCTATTACAAACATTTAATTATGTTCTCATTATGTCACACGCAGTTCATGCGTGGTGGTAGATGAAGTAGCTTGACATTTATCATTTTGTCCTGTTTTAAAAATCTCAGTTCTGTAAGTAGGAATAGCCCAGTATTCTTTTGGCTCTGTTGTCATTCTTTTCCTTACAAATAAAATATTAGTCTGAAAACAAGATCCAAAACCAAAAATGCATCACCTATCTTTACAGTGGCTAATGGCAGGTCTAGACTACATCTTTGAAAATTCAAGATTCTCTGATCACTAAGTATTTTTTGAACAACATAACTACACACTTTATTTCTCAACTATCATATACAGGTTTGGCTCACAATGAAACAAATATTCATAATCTAACATTTCCATTTATCAGAAAACCTCACAGGCTGACAAAACCTGATTCGACCATTTTTGTAGGGAGATATTACACTTCATATTGCATTGTGATGAATTCAATATTCCCAGTTGGGCCATTGGATACTTCAATTCAGAATGCCTTCTCAGATTATCAGGAGAGACAGACGTTAGGATCATCTTCATCTGAGTCAAATTCAACCTGCCATCCAGCATAGCATGTTCAATGGACAACACTTCATATTTTGTAAAGAAAAACTGGTATAAATTTGGATAAGATAATGCACAACCACATTGGCATATTCAAGTAACCTCTTCCTATTTTGTGGGGCATCGTATCACAAATTCACATGCTAAACCTACTGATGTCACCTATGTCAACGTGAAAAATGCAATATGTACTATACTTATGTTAAGACTAGGAACTGTAGGTACTTCTAATTTCAGCATAGCAAAGCACATCTCATCAATATTGTCAAGAGCAAAATTTATATAACTCACATTTTCATCTCGGTACCATCTTCCATGGCCATCCCGTTTCCAGCCTGAAGCAGTGAACCGAAGTTCTTGCTCCTGGCGTTTTCGGACTTCTGTTTGCCTATCAGAAAACAACTTGTCTTGAGTCTGATTTCCAGCAAAAGATTCTCCTTTACAGTTCCATTCTCGCAATCCAGTATTTCCAGTGGATAGTTCCATGGGAACATCAGAAGGAGCAACACTGGAGTCAAAGGATGAAGTAGTTGTCCATTTTGAATCATGAGATACCTTCTTGCCTTTGAAATCGTTGAATCTGCTTGACTGTGCTTCCAGAATTGCCCTCCGGGTCTCCTCAATTAATGGTTTTTCTTTGATACTGGTAGGCTTAACACCGGTGCGCGGATTGCCAGAATTTGAATGGGAAGCATCTGAAGAGAGAGCCAGTCTCTTGTTAATTTCGTGCTTCTTAGATAATTCTTTCTCCCTCAGCCTAGATTCTGCAGCGATGTGCCGTGCACCTTTATTATGCATCTGTTTATGTTGTTATTAGGAAAGCAATAATAGTAGAAGAACGAGCCACACCAATGTCTAGCAAGATAAATCACAAAAGGAGTACATAAACATAAGCAAGAACCGGCACTAGGTTTCTGATAGCAAACATACTTCCTACAGAAGAGACATATACATAACTAGAAATATGAAAGAAAAAGCCACTAGCATCCCCGCCAAGCCCAGCTCCAACCCCAAGTAGCCACAGCAGCTCAACCTCCCAGTGCAATGCCAATGCCCAACTGCTGGGGTTAGCCACTTTACTCGCTCAGCTCTTCACTAGACTTGCTTCTGCGACTGCAGCTCCTTCCGCACCGGTTTCGCCGGACAGCTTCGTTTCGGCAAACCCAAGTCTCCCACCAATCACCGCAAGCCAGCTAACCATGCCACAAAACCAACCTGCACCAGTCACAGCCCCTGCACCGGCCCCTCCAGCGCCCGTGGTGGTCCCTCGTCGTCACAACAGTTCGGGTGTGCGTGCCAAGCCCACGGTTCACGTCAGGAGGCACAGTTCTCGCCTCGCAGCCAAAGACATGGGCAAGTATGTGGACATGACTGACAAGGCCGTCAAGAAGAAGGCCCTTGAGAACGCCTGTCCTCGTGCTCTCCGGCTGTGCTGCCCGTCAAGCGCCGGGGTCTCCTGTCTAGAAACAAGCTCCCAATTGGGATTCCTGACCTCCGCAAACTGGCTTGCTATGCTGGACTGGGTTCAACTGCGGCCGCCGTGGACGCAGTGTCGCCCATCGCCTATGTAATGCAGGTCCTCCCTCAGTTTGTTGGTCCAGGCACGCAGTGTCTGAGATTTAGTGCGTTCTGGACTTTGTTAGGCAGGTTGTTGTGTACGTTCATTCGTAGTCGCCTTAGTTTTCCCTGTGCTCTCTATTTTCTCCTTGAGTCCTGGTCTGAAGGTTTGCCGCCCATGGGTGACTACCTTCAGATCCTTGTTCTGGCTGTTTCGGGCTCCACTGTGCAGGCTTGTTGGCGCGGAGTCTCGGCGTCCCCTAGTTTGTAATGAATTCTGTGTCCAAAAATTTTTGGTTGCTGTCTTGGAACATGCGTGGGCTTGGCGACCCGGATAAGTGCACAATCGTACACGATGCGCTTAGGCAAGCAACCCCAACGATTATTTGCCTTCAAGAAACAAAGTTAACTGATTGCTCTATCTTCAAAGCAGCAACTTTCCTTCCCCCCAACATGTCCTCCTCTTTTGTTCTCTCTAGTGCCTCAGGAGCCCGTGGTGGCACACTCACTGCTTGGGACTGCAACTCACCGTCACTGGTAACAAGCTCAGTTTCCAATAACTACTGCCTTTCCACAACCTTCTCCTCCAACTTGTCTGAACACTCGTTCTCGGTAACGAACGTCTATGCCCCTTCAGACCATAGAGAATCAGCTGCTTTCCTATCTCAGCTTGCTGAGCTCGCCCCCACTTTTACTGGTCCTTGGCTCCCCGGGGACTTCAACCTCATTCGCTACTCGGCAGACAAAAACACACCGGTGTCCAACGCGTCGCTTATCACTGCTTTCAATGACACCATCAATGACATGAGCCTCCTGGAGCTCCCCCTTGCTGGATGCCGGTTCACCTGGTCCAACAAACGTGACACCCCAACTCTTGATCGCCTTGATAGAATTTTCCACAACATTCCCTTTGGCCAACTCTTCCCATCATCAAGCCTACAAGGGCTCACCAGGCCAACCTCAGATCACGTCCCTATTCTCGCCACTCTATCCACTGATATTCCCAAATCTAACCACTTTCGCTTTGAGAATGCTTGGTTACTGCATCCTGATTTCCTTCAGTCCGTACTCCCGGCTTGGCACCAGGGCCAAACGTGCACTGATGCAGCTGGAAAAACTCGCGCGTCGGCTAAAGTCAGTACGAGCTGCGGCAAAGGTATGGTCCAGGCGTAACAGGGCGCCGCCGGCTATCATTCAAAACTGTAAATTCATTATTATGTTGTTTGACACCTTGGAAGAAGATCGCCGCCTATCTCCTGATGAGCTGCAGATTCGGTGCCAAAGCTACGAGAGACTCGCCCTGGAACTGAAGCAGCGTGCCGCGTACTGGAAGCAACGTGGCAAATTTAGAGCAGTGCGTGAGGGGGACAGTAATACTGCCTTCTTCCATGCTCATGCAACCACAAGAATGCGCAGAAACAACATCAAAAGCATTACTGTAAATGGTATTCAGGTGACCAATCACCCAGCCAAGGTCCAAGCACTAACTGATCACTTCAGAAGCATCATGGGAATACCAGGGAACACTGTTTGGCATTTTGGCTGTGATACTCTATACCAGGACCTACCCAAAGCGGGTGATGAACTCACGCTTCCATTCACGGAACAAGAGGCTGCAGCTGCGGTCAGAAGTATGAATCGGTGTAGTGCACCTGGACCAGATGGTTTCGGTCCTAGTTTCTACTCAGCAGCTTGGCAAACGGTGAAGGAGGATGTAATTCAATTTCTGACAGCCTTTTATGAAGAAAATGTTCAACTGGAAAGGGTAAACAGATCTCACATGGTCTTGATCCCAAAGAAGCCGGATGCCAACACCGTTGACGCCTTCAGGCCGATCTGCCTCCAAAATTGTTGCGTAACGATACTGTCCAAAATTCTGACGACAAGGCTGCAGACCCAAATCAGAAACATTGTTGACCTCGATCAGACAGGCTTCATTAGAGGAAGATCAATCACCGAGAATTTTGTTTATGCGATGGAATTAGTACAGTGTGTTCACAAGCGCAGAGCCCCAACGCTGGTGATCAAATTGGATTTTGCAAAGGCCTTTGACACGGTCAATTGGGATGCCCTGGACACGATTATGCAGGCTAGGGGGTTCAGCACGACCTTGAGAAGATGGATGCAGCAAATTCTTCAGTCTTCCCGTTCAGCGATACTAGTTAACGGATGCCCAGGGCCGTGGATCGGCGGCCGACGTGGGCTGCGTCAAGGAGATCCAATATCACCATACCTGTTCATACTAGTGGCAGATGTACTTCAAGTGCTTATCAGAAAATCGCAGCTCATACGGCACCCAATGGTGGATACAGGCTACCCAGTGCTGCAATGCGCAGATGATACACTTCTGCTGGTCAGAGGAGAACTGGCAGACGTCCAAACACTGAGATTGCTACTTGATCAGTTTGCCAGTGCAACCGGGCTGCAGAACAACTACAACATGAGCACTGCAGTCCCTATACATATGACTGAGGAGGCAGTACTGGACTGCGTATCAGCGTTAGGATGCCGCAGAGAGGGATTTCTTCAAACATATCTTGGTCTACCGCTGTCGAACACTAAGCTCAGACTAAATGCATTTGCTCCACAAATTGCAAAATGTGATAGGTACCTTGCAGGTTGGCAGTCAAGCCTACTGAATCAAATGGGTCGTGCAACACTCGTAAATGCTGTTCTTGATTGTCAACTGGTTTATGCCATGGCTGCCCTGCCGATACCGCCAGGGGTGCTGAACCAAGTAGATCGATGGCGCCAATCTTTTCTATGGTCAGGCTCGGGCTTCACAACTGGTGCCAAGAACTTGGTGGCCTGGGAACATGTCTGTGACGTCAAGGACAGGGGGGGCTTGGGACTCAAGGACCTTGGCATCCAAAACACATGCTTGATGTTGAAGATGATTCACAGGCTGCACTCTGATAATGACTCCTCATGGGCAAGATGGGTTCGCCAGAACGCAAGTATTGCATCACTGAGAGGCAACCTCAACAGCCATCACTGGGACACATTGAGATCATTTCTGCCTTTGTATCGTGCCATCACGACAGTCCGTATAGCAGATGGAAATATGACATCCTTCTGGCACAATGTCTGGGATGCACAGGATTCTCTTGCGGAAAGATTCCCGGAGCTGCTCAGTCACTGCCGCGATCAAGAACTGACAGTGAAACAAGCATATGAAGGTGAGCTCCAAAGATCACTCACTACGCGTCAATCGGCAGTGGCTACAACACAACTGGCGCAAGTCTTGGGAATTATGGAGCAGCATACACTTGCCGAAGGCAGAGATCGCAGATTGAGCATGATGATCAAGAAGAATGGAGACCTTAACAGTTCACTGCTATACAAGGCCCTGAAAACTGCACACTCCAGTCCGGATGCTTGGACAAAATTCGTCTGGAAAAACAAAGCTCCACCACGTGTGAAGTTTTTTGCATGGCTGCTATCACAAGGAAGGATACAATGCAAAACAGTATTGAGGACGAAAGGAGTGGTGGAGAACACAGTTTGTGAAGCCTGCCAAGCTGCCGAGGAGACACCTGCCCATATCATCTTTGGATGCTCATATGCCAAACAGTTCTGGGGAGCTGTCCGAATTAATACTGAAGCTGATTGGCCTATCCAAGCAACCAAAGACATTGAACCGCCGAACCACATACCAGCAAAGTACTTCACCACATTCCTACTACTATGCTGTTGGCATATATGGAAGCGGAGGAACAACACAGTGTTTAGGACAGACAGAACAGCGCTAAGCTCTGCACTGGCTGCGTGCAAAGCTGAAGCCTATTTGTGGGGTGCAAGACTGCCAAGAGATGAGAGGCACATTGCAACTGTCTGGTGTTCCATACTAGCTGACGCAATGTAATTCAATCATAGAAACTAAATGGTATATTTGTAAACTTATATGGCTATTTGAGAGACAACATCAATGAAATCAATCAGGTGGGGGATACCCCCTCTACCCCTAAGGCCTGTAAAAAAAAGTTATAAAATGACTGCAATGACATCGATAGATGAACCACTGATATTGTATGATACACTCCCTCCATTAAGAAATGTATGATGTTTTGGACAAGCTGCAGTCCTGTTTTTCACTTTGACCAGTGATGTGGCCCACAGATGTTTCCTATCAGTTTAAATGTCACTTGTCAGATTGAGAGATACATACCACAGCTGACAGTTTACGAAGTCGTGATAATCCCAGCCAGAGAAACAAATGATAGGAGTGCAAGGCGACATGATACCCACATCGTGATATTCCAAGCCAGATAAACAAATGGTAAGAGAGAAAAGGTATGATTTTGTCCCTCAACTTCCCCCAAGGCTAACTTTCATCCCTCAACTATCAGATCGAGCACTTGAGCCCCTAAACTCTTCTCCTTCGGGTCAAACTAGTCCCTTGTCTGATGTGGCGCACCATGTTGGCATGCCTGATCAGCGATACAATCACTTGTGTCGAAATAACTGATTCCAAATTGTCATTTCTATATTTCTTTTGGCCAACTAGATATCTTCACTCAAGGAGAGTAGGAGCCAGCATTCTAGAACTTTGGAGTCACAGTCCCTGCTCAGCTGCTCTGACTCATGCTCTACTGAATACAGACATGATGATTTGTTTTCCTGTATTGCACAGTAGAAAAACAAGTAATGATGTAATCGTTGGCTTCTTTATTTTTTACTAACATCATAGAAAGGTACTACTAGCATGCGAACGTGTCACTCCACAACAGAGTAGCACTATTTGACCCAGAGAAGAAAGTTCGGGGGACTCGGATGATCGGTTTGTGCTAGTCGAAGGACGAAAGTGAGCTTCTAAGAAAAGTCGAGGACCAAAATGCCTATTCCAGCGAGGGAAGAAAATAGAAGATGTTACACGAGATAATCCTCACTAACGCAGGGGCAACAATTCACGCAATCATAGGAGATTCATCAGCAATTAACCAGGGGAGTCCGGCAAAGGAGGACTCGGGGGATGTGGTGCTGGCTTACTGAGAGCATGAGGGGGGTGTCGAGGACGGGGCGGTGGGGGCAGATGAGGCAGGCGAGCTTGCCGTTGGGGAGCTTCCTGAAGGAATCAGGCGTCGAGGGAGACGAGGACGCCGTGGTGGGTAGCAAGAGGTCGTCGAGGCGCCGCTTCCGCTGCTGCGCATCACGCGCCCAGCTGTCGCCGCCGAACACGCTCATGCCGGCTTCCTCGCCGTCGTTGCCACGGCCGCCGGGAGGAGATCTGGTGGACTGGTGGTGGTTTGGCCCGCGTCCTCTCTCTGGACCGGACCGGGATTTGCTTAACTGCCCAACACTACTGCTACTTGGGCTTTTGTCAGTGGGCCGAGCTAATGATAGAATGGCGAATGGGCACTTTGCTCGGCCTCTTAGCTTTGTGTTGCTAATCCTTTATCATTGACACGTGGGGTCTCTCGATTTTTCTTATAAAATTCTGATGATTTTGAAATAAAAATAAGACCAACTTATAGGTACTATAGGTACCAGACTTCTTTCAATAAGAAAAAAAGTCAAGCACCTAAAATAGAGTTGAAGAAAACTTGAGCCTAGTTAGGTGTATGGCCACCTTTATGCTTATCCACACCCAAATCACAAAATATTTAATATATATTCACAAAAATGAATATAAAAAGATTGCATCCTACTCTTGTTTGGTAGAGAGGCTCATGTGAGGTTGTATATACTATTTGTTTTCCTATGTACAAAAACTAATGTATACTATTAGCCAATAAATACTTAGATTAATGGTTAACATTGCATATTTTATTAGCTAGTGCAATACCATCGAATGACCATATATATTACTTATTTTTGGGACCATGCTACCTTAATGCATTGAGGCCAAATATTTCATGATGCAATGCTTGATCGTATTGAATCACTAAGGGGTGGTTTAGTTGGCGAATTTTTTTGGGGAATGGTATTGTAGCACTTTCGTTGTTATTTGATAATTAGTATCCAATCATAGTCTAATTAGGCTTAAAAGATTCATCTCGTGAATTTCATCTAAACTGTGTAATTATTTTTATTTTTATTTATATTTAATGCTTCATGCATGCTTCCAAAGATTCGATGTGACGGGGAATCTTGAAAAATTTTGCAAAATTTTAGGAACTAAACAGGCTCTAAGCGTTATGTGGTGCCTATAGCACTTTGTGGCCAGAAAAACATCCACAGTACTATCAATGGGATTTTTATTTTATACCTTTATCCATTTTGGCAAACGGCAATAGCCATATTTATCTTTGGCTAAATAAAACTTAGCGACAAATATCAAATATGGCTGGTGGCTGCTCAATGCTCTATAGATTTTTACTCTGCAACATAACAGACCTGTAAGTTTTAGCTTTGACTTATAGAATCTTCTTTGTAAGATTGGTTTACTAAGTGTGTTGTGCCTAATTGTCAATGCTATGGCCTATGGGCTTGTGTTAGGGCGTGTTTGGTTGGTTGCCACACCACGTCGTAGTTTGGGCACGCGTTTGATTCGCTGCCGCAACCTCACCATGGTCATCTAGTTCATTTTTGCTGCCAAAACTGGCCGCAGTTGCAGCGACAGATTTCATCACCGCACTTTTTGCGAGGCCACAGCCTAGGCGCCCACTAGGTGTCATCCAAACGTGCCCTTAATTCCAAACTCTGCCCTTGTTTAGTTCAACCCCAACTTCTAAAAAGTTGTTACAGTACCTGTCACATCGAATGTTTGCGGCCCGTGCATGAAGCATTAAATGTAGACGAAAAGAAAAAACTAATTGCACAGTTTAGTGGGAAATTGCGAGACGAACGTTTTGAGCCTAATTAGTCCATATTTAAACACTATTTACCAAATAAAAACGAACGTGCTACAGTATCCCAAAATCCAAATTCCTCCAACTAAACAGAGCCTCTTTCATCTGTTTGTTGATGTTGTGGGTTGTCTGCTACCAAAAGTATCCTCTGTGGGTGCACGTAACAATTGATCCTCACTCAGACACCAAGATCGAAGCATGGCCATAAAGCACCGGTGTAGCAACAGAAATTACTGTACACACCCGCAAGCCGTAACCTCACAAGTTTCCCCGATCCATTCCCATCGCCCAGTCAAATCCCCTGGCCTCCCTGTGCCCTGTGTCCCCCGCGGCGAGCGGCGAGCCCCATGGATCCGCCTACTTCCGCCGCCAAGCGGCGGGAGACGGGGGAGGCGGAGCGGTTTATGAGCATCGCCGAGAAGCTCCTGACGGCACGCGACCTGGAGGGCTGCAAGCAGTTCGTCGCCCAAGCCCTCTCCTTCGACCCCCGCGCCCCGGGCGCCGACGACCTCCTCGCCGCCGCCGATGCCCTCCTCGCCGACAAGCGTCGGCGCCTCCCGTCCGGGGCCCTCGATCCCTACGCCGTCCTTGGCCTCGACTCCGCCGTGCCGGCCTCCCGCGAGCCTGACGTCGTCCATTCCCACTACCGCCGCCTCTCCTTCCTGCTCAACCGCTCCCACCCTGACCGTCCCTGCTCGCTCGCCTTCGCCGACGCTGCCCGCCTCGTCGCCGACGCGTGGGCCTTCCTATCGGATCCCATCCGCAAAGCCTCCCTCGACTTCGACCTCGACGCTGCCACCGCTGCAACTAACGCAGCTGCAGCTGCCAAAGCCGCCGCCGCCGCCGCAGCAGCAGCAGCGTCAGCTCGTGTACCCACCGCTCCCCATCCAGAGAAGCAGCATCAGCCGCAGTCACAGTCACAGCCGCCGCTGCCGCCTGCTCCGCAGCCACCGCAGACTGTGTCGGGCACGCCGCCACCAAAGCGCGGGCGACCGCCGCGGGCTGCCAAAACGCCGGCGACGCCGCCTGCTGCGCAGCCACCGCAGACCATGTCGGGCACGCCGCCACCAAAGCGTGGGCGGCCGCCGCGGGCTGCCAAAACGCCGCCTGAGACTGAACGAAACCAGGAGGGGGAAGCTCTACAGGCGCCAGCGTTCTGGACGGTTTGCCCCTCCTGCTGCGGCTTACACCAGTATGACCGCTCCTACGAGTCGCAAACGCTGCTCTGCCCCAGCTGCCGCTGGCCGTTTGTTGCCACGGCAATGTCCACGCCGCCACCCATCGTGCCAGGCACAGACATGTACTACTGCTCCTGGGGGTTCTTCCCAATGGGATTCCCTGGTGGCCCTGCATTCGCCGGACCGCTCAATTCACCGCAGCAGCAGGCGCCTGATGCCCTAGGATTTTATCCAATGGGGCCATACTTGCCATTGCCGGGCCCAAGTGGCATTGTGGAAGGGGAAGGCAATAAGGCAGTTGATGCTGCCACTGGCATTCCTGTCACCCCAACAGTGGCAGCGCCAGCGCCAGCACCAACAGCACCAACAGCGGCAGCACCAGTGAAGTCCTCACATGTGAAGGTTGGGGCAAAGAAGCGAGGGCGGCCTAAAGGCGGCAAGAACAAGAAAGTGGTGATTGAGATAAATTAGGGCTATGGAATGGCGCATGTGAAGGTTGGGGCAAAGAAGCGAGGGCGGCTCGAGGGCTGCAAGAAGAAGAAAGTAGTGATTGAGATCGATTAGGGCAGTGGTATGCCGATCGCTGCACCATTCAACATCTGCAACTGTTGTAAACTACATTGTGTATGTGTAGGACAGTTTTCTTGCTTGCAGATGACATGGGCACTGTAAGATGGTCGAGCGTTGGTGCTTCACCTCAAGAATCAGAGCTTCACCATTCATGAAATTTTGGTGACTAGGTTTTCCTCCTTACTTCCATTGTGGAGTTTACCATAGTGGTCAGTTCAGGCGATCAGTTCTAGCTTTTGTTTGTATCATCCCATTAGATGGGTCAGATGTTTCATGTTGTTGGGTGGCAGCTGCTCAAGTGCCCGTTATGCTGTCTGCAACTTGTAAGATTAGGAGATGGATAATAAGCTCTGTGAATGTACATTAATTGGAAACACTACAGTATGAAACTGTTGAAATTGACAACTTTGCTTCGGCAGTTTGGAATAGCTTTCCACACCTCCTGACTCGTCGCCTCCACGTGGGCACAGGCGCCGCCGTCGCTCCTCCGCCTAACGTGCTTTTCCAGAGCGGGATGTGGCCGGAGTCATTGCCGCGGCACATGGCACTGGTGACAGACGGAACAAGTGGTGGGCGCAGGCGCGAGGTGCTGGTGACGCCGGAAGGGATCTTATGCACCGCAGATGACGGGTTGTCTAGACATGGCAGATCAACGGCGAGCGGCTCTGGCACGGTGGTCTCAGGCAACTGAGCACCAGGCCTTTCTTTTCGGTTCTGTAGAAATCATTGTTTTTTTTTGGCATCCTCTGGCCAGTGTTGATCTGTTTCTTTGTTCTTGTCTTGCTTTGCAGTGTGGATTCTTTAGCCAACAAACACTGGCATGACGCCATGACCTCAGGGCCTGTTGGAGTTCAGCGAGCGCAACATGGCAAGACTCTGCTGTCCAGGACACAGGGCACCAAGGTATGCCTGCCCATCTCCTGCTTGCTCTATCAGTTGGGAATCATGCTGCTACTACTGTACCATCTTGGTGTAAAAGGAAGGCCAAAGAAGTTTCACTGGGCACACAGGCATGAGTTTCTAGCAATATCGGTAATTCAGCATGCATGTGTGTTTGATCAGTAGGAATACCTGTGATTTAGATGTGGTTCCTTTTTACGGTTGTCCTACACGAACGTGGCTTTGTAGAATTGTTTAGACTTGATCTTAATGTGGAATGTTCGTAGGTTATATTTTTTGTGCAAATATAAGTTATTGAAGCATTAAGATAGAACTGTTAGGCATTTAAATGAAGATCGTCTTGATGTCTTATGTATGGTTATGCTTTTCTGATTCATTATTAGTAGGATTAACATAATTTGGTAGTGAGGACTAAAAGCTTCATTTGTGTGAAGGGCAGGCCTGGTGCAGTGGTGAGAGCTGTCTCACTGAGTCACCAGGTCGTGGGTTCGAAGTAGCCTCTCCGCAGATTTTGCGGGGAGGAAGGCTTGCCTCAGTTTTTCCCTTCCCCAGACCCCACTCATGTGGGAGCCTCCGGCACTGGGTCTGTCCTTTTTTTTTGTTTGGAAATTTTCAGAATTTAATGTTTCACGTGCCAATCAGGGCTACTTCTCATCTGTAAGGAGGATTTTTATCTCGATTTCTTCCTTTTGTTTTCAAATTTTTTCTAATGGTCTGAAGCACAAAGTATTTGATGTCTCCTTGGCTGATCTTGAGAATGATGAGGATCAAGCACATAGGAAAACAAACATTTTTTATAGAGCTCTTTTGTTTCTCTTGGCCAGTTCGGGGTACTTGCTTGTCATTCCATCAGTGTAGTAGTATTTCTGAATTTACTAATTTGATGCAATACACCTATGGTCTTACACTGCTTTTCGTATATATATGCTAGAGTTCTTTTTTCATGTGAAAGATAAATTACTAACTGGTATTAATAAACATATTAACATTACAATTTGTGATATTATCAAATTAGAAACTGTAATATTAATGGTTGGAAAGTTCTCTCAATAAAGTTGAATCAACTTTGGTCTTGACAGGGTCTATTCTAAGTAAACAAACTAATTGGAACAGATGTACCAGGCTGAGGTAACTGGTTTGACTCTCTAAATTCAGAACAAGTCTTGGTACCCCAGCTCAGAAATTTTCTGGGATTCGTGGAAAGCCTAGCCAAATGGCTGGTTCAATTGTCAAAATTAGCTATTTTGAACCAATTTTGAGTATTTCTAGCATTGTTACATATGCAATTTATTGGGAAAAAGTAACTCAACTTTACTTAACGGGTTTGGCTGGTTGATTTTGGCAAATATGGAGCCATTTTTTGAAGGTGGTCATATGCAATCTATATGCTTTTTTAGGCCATGTTGATCCAACATTCTCTATGGTTTGGAAAATAGTTACCATTATCACACGTAACTGTTATTTCTAGTGTCCCAGCCAGTTTGGACTATCAATTAGCGTTCAGTCTTTCTTGCTGATAAACATTCTTTTTATTGTAGTGTTAAGGAGCAAGGGAGGTGGATGCTATAAAAGATGATGGAATTTGGAAACAAGGTCCAAAAAATGGAAGGAAAATGTTGATGCGACAATTAATGATTTTACAATGGCCAGGTCAAAGTAGTAGGTAATGGCATATACCTTACAAGAAGAGCATCGATAATAATCAGGCTATCATAATAGTGTTCATCCTATTTTTACAATTCTGATGGTACCAAGTAAAGGCGGATGGGGATGGGGACCATTGTTCGGCATTCTCTGTCCTTCCTCTATCATGCCCACAGTGAGGGAACCATGGTAGGTGGACGCGCTAAATTACATGGAGGCTGCCAGTTTTTTTTTTTTTTTATTTTTGCTTTTTCCCCTTTTGTGTATGTTTTTTGTTCGGCATGCCTTACACGGATCTGAAGCCATGGTGCTCGAAGTTCTTGGCGGCACACGAGATTGACTAATGCCAAAATGATGTTCATCTGTTGTGATTGAAATCTATGAATTTGATAAATTCAGCTAAAGAGATCTATAATTAGTATAGGTTGCATGCAATGCAATACATGGTAGTTTTGGCTTGATTTTCACCATCTCAACGGCATTGCCAAAGAACATGCAAGATGTAAATGAATCAGATAGAGAATAGATTTGCTTCGTATAGAGCGTTATTTCTCAGTTCATACATATATTGAGTTTGCTAAGTTGCTGCTGCCCCTCACACCTGGAGCTCGAGGTCCTAGGTGCTGGTTTGGGTGGTAAATACTGGATTCAAACCCTAGGTGAGTGAGTGATATTATTTTCATTGTTTTGTTTGCTATGTTTTGGATGCAGTATATTGCTGTGTATAAAATTTATCCTGTTCATGTTTAATCAAACATGACCTCTGATCTTGGATTCAAACTCTAGGAGGATGAAAATCCTGAAACACATTAATATTTTTCTGACGTTTTTATTTCGTTCTTTCGTGGTTGGCCACATATTTTATTGCATTTTCATAGCTTGTGTTCACCTTTACTACTTTCTCAGCAGCATGATTGCCATCTAGGTGGTTTTGGCTATAATCATGTAACTATGTTCTTGGCTTCTTGCTAATTGTTTTTTGTTCAGGATGATGACTGGCTACCGCATTAAATACTGTAGCTTATTGCTTCTTTCTTAACGAGTTGTGATGCAATTGCCCAGTTTATATTGACATACCACTTTTGGTTGTTGCAGAGTTGTGTTAAAAATGACAAAGCTTGTTTGATATTCTATGGAGGATATCATGTTCGGTAGGGCGCTGCGAAGCGCACCAAATTTTCTGAGTTGAAATAAAGTTCAAGGCAACCAAAATGGTTGTCGTGGTTTTCCTTAGATTGTGGCATTGTGCACATGTAATAATTGTAAGACGTGCGTCAGAAATTGTGTTCTATTGTGTGGTCTGAACTCTGAAGGACCCTGGTAGTTTGCATTTCTCAGAAGTCGCATGTACACTCGGTAAGCATGGTGATGCTGTTTTCGGTTTATGCTAGCCTTTTTTTCTCTCCGGGCGAAGGCGATTGTCTCCATCGTGTTACTCTTGCGCCAGACTCATCGTCCCCTCTGCTTCAGTGGCCTCAGCGGCACCTGAGGGCAGCCTCTATGGCTGGAGCTGTCTTCCCTAGCCCTGCAAACTTGTTGCTTTATTTGCGCTTACCTCAATATTTTTTCCTCTATGCAGAAACCTGATAGCTCACGCCTTTATTTAGATAACGAGCCCACTCGCTTTTTTTGAGCTTTTTTTTTTAAATTGATATAATCTTATTTATTGTGGTATCATGAATTGTTTGAGACTCAACTTCAAGCCAAAGCTTAACAAGTCGAGTTAAAGTCTAAAGTACTTAAAATCAACTATTTTTTAAAAAGAAAAATGAGTTTAATCAGAGCATTTTTCAATCAAGCCCCTCAAGTACTTAAAATCACATTTGCGGGCTCGACAAGAAGCACAGCCGATGAGCCGAGAGGCCCGCAAATACGATAGGTCGATAGCGCGGTCGTTTCCCCGGGTGGCCATTACCTCGCTGCCGCCCATTCCCCATGTGCGGGCGGACTCGATCAATCTACAGTAGCTGCAATCAATCTACTGCAGTTCCTATCCCAGCCTGTCAGGCGGGGAGAGAGAAGTAATACGCGAGTTACCTCCGTCCCCGCGACTGTGATTTCGAGCGCATCAGCGTGTACCTCCCGTCCTCCCGCCCCAGCGACTGTGATTTAGAGCGCGAGAGGCCCTTTGCAGGTCACTTCTCAACCCTTGTTTAGAACCTGTTTGGTAGGGCTTCCAGATGCTTCGGCTCCTACACTGTTCACACACTGTAGCGTGTCAGAGCCGGAGGAGCCAGAAATTTGAGCTTCCCTGGCTCCGTGAACAGTACCGCGCTACAGTGAGAGGAACAAGCGGGGAGGGAAAAACAGCTCCGCTGCTACAGTGATGCTACAGCGTTCGTCGTAGGGTGTCAGCCGGAACCGGAGTTGCCGGGAGCCCGGCCAAACAAGTCCTTAGCCGGAATCGGTATTTGCATAGTGTTTGATGTGACGGTAAACACTGTATCAATTTCGTTTGTATTTGTGAATTATTGTTCAAACATTGACTAATTAGGCTTAAAAGATTCGTCTCGCAAAGTTCAACCAAACTGTGCAATTAATTTTTGATTTCATCTACATTTAGTACTCCATACATATACCGTAAGTTTAATGTGACGGGGAATCTTCTTTTTGCATAGTGTCAAAGTTGAGAGTTTTGGGAAACTAAACACCGCCCTTTATTTCTGGAGAATTCCTCATGAGTCATTAAAAAAGATCACAGTTCTATGTGAGTCACTGAAAAAGTTTAGCAATCTTTAGCATCACTGCGCCAACTTTTTTTCCCTTCATGCCATGCCGTCAGATTGGACCCTAACGGTGTCAAAATGCATGTATGAAAAGTCGAAAATAGTCTTACGTCTAAATATGTTATTAATTTTTTTGAGCATCTTAACGACTTCCAATGAAAAAACTCAAAACTCGAAAGTTATAAATTTCGTCGAGATCTATAATTTTCATAATAAAATTATATCTTTTTTGTGGTATTAAAAGAAGAAATTATATATCTCGATGAGATCTAAAACTTTCTAATTTTGAGTTTTTTTATTTGAAGTCATTAAGATGCTCAACAAAAATTAATGACACATTTAGATTTAAGAGATTTTTTGACTTTTCACGCCTACAGTTTTATATCGTTATGGCTCAATCTAATGTAGTGATATGAAGAAAAAAAATTAAAACGGTAGCGCTGAATACCACCGAACTTTTCCAATCTTTTTTTATGGCTCACGAGCAATTCCCCCTTACTTCTGCCGTTCAGCCGGCGTGTGGGCTCTCTCTCTCGTGCGTCAACTGGGCGACCCGCCGACGCCGACGCGAGGTGCCCAGGTCTTCGTCGGTCCTTCACCAGCGACGAGCACCCACCAGGTACTGCGCACCCTTTCTCTTCCGTTCCTGCTGTGCGAAACCGAGCACCCGAACCCTAACTTAAGCTATTTGGCCATTTTGTAGTCAGATCTGATCTATTTACAAGTGTATACATGCCTACAAACTTCGATTTTCTGCAAAATAGTATTACTGGGTCCGCCCCTGTTCTCCTGGGTTGAGTGAGCTCCCTTCGTTGGGCTTTGGTAGATCTAGATCATGTGCTTCCGAGCGTCTGTGGCCATCCCCTCTTTTATCCGCTGCTGCTGATATCTGGCGACCGGGCAGTGGCGGAGATGATGAAGAACATATGCGTCCTTTGCTGTATTTTTTTTGTGTGTGTTGCCCAATGTTCGTTGTGTACAACCAGGGCTGTTCTCTGATTAATATATCTCAAGCTAGCCCCTGATTTCTACTGCTTTTGAACTGTGAAATGTCGAAACGTCATGACACTTTCATGATTTTGCATCAGGCGGCAACCATTGGTTTAGGAAAGTAGTAATTGAGTACTGGATGGTGTTGCATTAGTGGGGGTTGTGTGGCTTGCTGCCTCACTGAGAAGCTGCTTGTGAATCTGAACATGAAGTGGGAGAATCTAGTTTGATTTCAGTGCATATTGGATGGAAATACATATATTTACTTTCAAAATACTCTGGTATAGCCTTGGATGTCAAGATCACATGTGTTCTGCATAGTTTTCATAACTCATAACTGAATCACCTATTTTACCAAGGTTTTCCTGTAAATTCCTTTATATGGGTTACATGTGTAGGAGTACATCTGAGGCTTATATAAGCATAAAATGAGCTGTAGCCTTTCAGAAAACTGGTTTCAGCATCAGATGGGTAGTGCAGCTGCCCTGATCTATCATTGCAGATGCTTGAAATTGATCTTTTGGTAGAGTAGATCATTTCCATTAATCAACCAACTCCCCTGGTGGAAAATCACTAACATTTTTCTTACCCCATGGTGATGCAGGTTTGCATTGATCAGTATGGTGAATGAAAATGCAGATAAAGATCATGACACTGGTCCAGAAAATAAGTTAAGACACAATTTTCGATTGGGAGATATAACATGGGTTAAGTGCAGTGGCTTTTCATGGTGGCCAGCCCAGGTATGAGTTATGAGACCGCACCTTGTATCTTAGTGCAGAAAGTGTGTTTGTTTCGCGTAACTAGATAGCACTTTAGGTTGCTAATGACCGATGTCCTTGTTGCTTATGGCACATCGGAACTAAACACCGGAAAGATTATTTTTTAAGTAGGAAGAATCTAAAGTTGGCTAGGGCTATAGCTTGACATTTGTGTTTGAAGTTTTGAACAGTAACATTTATCACAATGATTCAAATGAACAATATTTACAGTTCATCTGCCATCACCTTAGCATATGTATGATCTGAAGTCAAGACATTAGTTTTTTAGACTGAATTTTACCAGCAGTCCCTGAACTTGTCCCAGACGGCCTGATCTCATTCAAGTCTGCGAACTCTCAAAATGCATACTTGGGACCTTAAACGTGTCCTGGGTTTCAGGTAGGCCCAACCGGTCCACATCAGCCCAACTGCCTATCTGGCTTGCTACTGTGCCTGCCATATGGGTTGATGACCAGGTTTAGTTTAGTTAAGTTATTTTAAAATTTCTGAAATAGGTTTTCAGTTGAAGGAATAATCTAGATATCTCTTGATAGCATATATAAAACATTCAAACACCTCTAGAAATTTCAGGGGAAAATTCTGGAGATGTAGTATGATGCAAGGAAGTCAGATAAAATATCTGAAATTCTGAGGAACAAGTTTTAGAAGCTTCAAATAAACCAACAATAAAGCAAAACAGAATTGAAAGGGTCAAAAATACCAAATTAATTATAATAAGTAAAAGGTTTAGAAATACCGTACTTGTACTTTAGTAGGTACTTTTAATGTTTTTGCCTGTATGTCTGGCTGTGTGTGTTGGGGTGGTTGAGAGGTTGTTAAAATGAATTGATTGTCGATCAATGTTTTTGAGGCGCTGCGGCGACACGCGGCGCCCTACCCCTTCACAACGCCTAGGCATTTATGGCGGACGCCTAGGCGACGCCATATGATCATCTTAATATATAATGCTACTAAAATTCAGAAGCAGATCATACCTTAATGTTGCCAAGTCTTAGCATGTAATACCATAATAAATAATGCTACCAGAGTGCTAGTGCGCAACATAAAGTAGCAAATCTGAAATCTCTCATCACTCAATAGCAACTAATTAGTCTCTAATAACATAATATAACTTAATGACTAGTGCTACAAGGGCAAAACAAATATAAGTAGCATAAGTGCAGATCTGAAATCTCTAGTCAGTATCATCTAGGGATGATTATTCAAGCAGTTTTCCATCTCCACTCTAATTGCAGTGGTAGTTTTCATGCACTTCCTTGTATCTCCAAAGCCACCCGCCAGATGTTTCTTCAGCCTTTTTATCCCTCCGGTAAGTGAGGCACCACATAGAGTGCATGCCACCACATCTTTGTTTTGAAGGTTTGGCCAGTACCCATACTTCCATCCTGGATCCGCAGAGTTTCCCTTCTGAGCCAAATCAGTCCTAGGATCATAATTGCTGATGATGGAAGATGGACTTGCCATTGTGCTATCAGCTGTAAAAACAAAGAACTCGAGCACTTCCGGTCACCTCTATATAACAAAGCACGAGAGACAGGGAAATAAACAGAGGAAGAGGGAAAGAAACAGAGGAAGAGGAGGGAAGCAGGGCTGCAGAGGAGACCAGAGAGGAGGCAGGGAGCATACGAGGCGGACAGGCAGACGGTGGACGAACAGAGGAGCAGCCAAGCGGAGATGCGGACTGCGGCTCCACGGCAGCTGCGGAGGCCAAGCGGAGATGCAGGGCTGGCTCCGCGGCAGGGGCGGCCGGCCGGCCGGTGGACGAACAGAGGAGCAGCCAAGCGGAGCTCGAGGTCTGCCTGCCGCCTTCTCTCTTCCTCCAAGCGGAGCTCGAGGTCCACCTCCGCCTTCTCTCTTCCTCTCCCCTCGCCCTCACTCACGGTCGCGGTAAATGCCGCGCGCGGCAGATTTCCCGCGCGAAGAGCCTATCTAGTTCTGCGCCCTCACAGTTCCCGCGCCTTTTCCTTTCAGCGCGGACGCACGGTCGATTTCCCGCAGGGCCGCGGTCCTTTTGCCGCCCTTCCCCCGCGAATTGGCATCCGGCGTCTGCGGCGGGGCTGTAGGCGTCCGCCCAACGCCATTATTCTCCTAGGCGACGCCTAACTCGATTAGGCGGATGCCATACCAATGCAGGTCGTGGCGCCCCCGACGCCCAGGCCCTCTACCACGCCTTGTCGCCCAGGCGACGCCTCAAAAACAATGTTGTCCATGGAAGTACTACATGGCTTCAAAGTCCTAGCTTATAAAATAACAGTGCATTATAGGTCCCAAAACTCCTCCTCGAGCAACACAAGTGCCACTGTGGCATGACACATATCCAGAATATGCAACTTGAGAGTTTGTGGACCTTGATTGGAACTCGGGACAAGTTTAGGAACTGTTTTTTACTGTTGTATTTATTATTACTTGTTCGGGACTCTAGCTTCCCTTGCATCTAATTACACCCAATTTCTCTTTCTGAATTCAAGGTCATTGATGAATCATGTGTTGGTAGCAAGCCTAAGAAGAAAGACAAGTATGATTGCCTAGTTCGGCTCTATGGAACATGTCAATAGTAAGGGATCCTAAGACACATTAGAGTTTTCTTTTCTCTGTAATGATAGTCTTTGTGTCATTTTTTAAATTCTTCTGTTGTTTTACTTTCAGCTTATATGTAGACCCTTGGAAGTCTAACTCAGAATTTGAAATGGTATGCATAAGCTTCTTTCTCATATGGGCAGTGATATGGATCTTGCTCTATAGTGGTGATAATTAGGATTTGTCATATAAATTCAATGTATGCAGATGTTGAAGCAAGAAAACAAGAGCGCAATGGAAGCATTCCGTGAGGTGCTTGAGAAGGTAGAGCAGTCACCTGCACAGTTTACAGTAGATATGCTATGAGTAAATACAGATTTTTGAGAGATTTGTTTAATCCAATGACGCAGGAGCTCTCTGGCGTTAACTTGTGCAGTGATTATGAGGATGATTATGAAGAGGAAGCTGTCAACTCAAAAGGTGAACATTTTCTTCTTTGCCGTGCAATGTATACTCAACATGGTTCTCCTTGTGGTTGATCATTTGATTATTCACCACTCTCTTTTCTATTATGATTCTTGTGACAAGGATCTTTTCAGTTTTTATTGAAATTCGTCATTTTTGGGAACATGTTCTATCTGGCATAGTGTTTATGTAAATACAATCCATCTTATGGCTGCTTAAACGTCGTATGTTAATTGTTATAAACAATGGTTTCATTAAATATCATATATGCAACATGTAACTTTATTCACTTAAGCTTTTGGTTTTGTGAAATAAGTTCAATTTTGAACTTGTTGTCAATGACGCAAATTATATTTTAGTTCAGTTGCTATACATCTGAATTTTCTAAATTCAATTTTCAGGCGGTGACACCAAAGGGACCTCAAAGAAGACCTCTTCTAGAAAAGCCAGAAAACAAGGTCTGAAGCAACAATATAATGAAGAGGAAGACCAAAATGTTGGGAGCAATGCAACTACTGGAAGTGCTCAGAAAAGAAAGGGTGGGCGTGCAAGACAATCAAGTTCTACTCATGATGTCATTGATAAAGATTGTAGGGACAGTTCAGCTGAAGGTTTAAGGAACAAGAGACAGAAGTATGCTGCTCAAAGCGCTTCAGTAGGCAGAAAGGAAGGGTTGAGACAATCAGCTCGTTCTGATGCCAAGCAATATCTAGATGCAGCTGAGGGTAATACAGAACCACTCACTGATATACTTGGAAGCGAAGGTGCAACTCGAGGTTCAAAGCATACTGAAATAAAAGTTATGGTCAGGGATATACTGTTCAAGGACATTATTGACAAGGAGCATGATGCTGAAATGGCTTATGTGGATGAAGTGATTAATGGCATTTGTAATGCTACTGACAGTGTGATTGGTAGTGGTGATGCTTCTACGAAAGGCGGAAGAGGCCTCAAGCAGAGTGGTAGCGGAGTGGAGGGTGAGTCAAGCAATGCCCCTGTAAGTTGACCCCGTTGCCCACCACACCTGCGCTTCCCAACTGCTTTTATGACCTCAAATTTTACTTGCTAGTTTGACGAAATTTCCTCAGAGCAGGGGAACAGCAGTGATGACACCGGGGCAACTTAGTGCACGCCGGAATAGGCAAATCAGGATCATGCAAACCCTCGCTCTGATTGCTCCATCAGGATCTCCATTCGGCAGGAATGAAGTTGTTGCGGCCAGCCACTGAAAACTCTAATTCACTTATGAGAGCCTTAAGAAACAATTAGGTTCAGTGAGACTCCTAGCGTTTTGCAGTCCTCGCCTCCATGCACTATGCCTAGTATCGATGGTACCTCCATGGAATATTTAGTTAGTCACTGCTGGCATTAGCTTTTGGGAAGCGCCTATGTATTGCGCCTGAAGCCTGATCTGCTGATTACCTAGCAATTGCTATTAATCTATACAGAAGACTTAGACTGAGTATGATTGCTATGTAATCACGTGTTTGGCTCTGTACTTCTGTAACGGCGACAATGGCCAATGTGGTGCCAGTGAACCTTATATATTATGTTATGCCCCCATCACCAAGTTGCCGAGTTGCCCTGAATTACTAGTTTCCTTCGGCATTTCAGCTCAGAATGCAGCAGTTTTGCATGTTGAAGCAACTGATATCTCCGTAAATGGACAGCATCCTGATTCCTGAACTGATGGATCAAAATCAAATCTTGCTTGACCAGTCACTTGGAGATCCTGCAGTGACGGTGAGGCCGGCGTCCAGAGAAGCAACACCATACGCATCGAGAGAACCTGTCGGGGTGACACGATCACACGGTGTCACGTCTGCAGAGAAATTCCTAGTACTGCAGTGTCAGGTCTGCTGGATGGAGCAAAGCGGATCGATGGGCAGGTCCGATCGTGCTTCCTCGCGGCGGCTGCGTTGGTGCATTAGCATTGCACAAGATTCTGGTTTGGGAGTAGGGTGATCCCTGAGTTTGTACGTACGAACCATGAATCGTGACATGTCCCTGACGCTCGCTTTCAACTTTCTTTTTCCGCTTCCCTTCTGTGCAGCTAGTCTCGTGCCCAGCCTGCGCTGCAACCAAAGGGGAATACGAGTACTGGCTGTTGCGTCGCGAGGGGACACGCGGTAAAGTTACACAGTGAATCTGTCCCTCTCCCTCGTCTCGTTTCATCGGTCGCCATGAAAAGAGCGCCGTATGGTCACAGCGTTTGTTTTTACTGTAGCTGGTAAAAAGTGTTTCTGGCAGAAACAACTCAGGTCTTCGTATCCATCAAAATCGACAAAGCATTCTCGTCCTCTCCTGTCCAGCAGCTCCCTCTACGTCCTCTGTACTTCCTCGGTCCTATTAAAAGTGTTGTTTTTAATTTTTAGAATTCTTAGTTCACCATCCGTAGTATTTAAATTTTTTATACAAATAATAAAATAAATAAATTATTATTAAAGTATCTCTAATGATAAAATAAGTCATAACAAAATAAATAATATTTATATAAAATTTTTGAATAAGATGAACGGTCAAAGAAGAAGTCTAAAAATAAAAAACGACATTTTTAATGGGACGGAGGGAGTAGATAGTATGATGTATTATGAGTCTATTTTTAAAGTTTATTGAAATGATTTTATTTATCATACTAGTATTAATTATTAGCTTATGAGAAATGAGGTGCTATTCTATAAATCATATTTATAGAGTATTTTATTTCACAAACCAAGCACCTCCTATGTGAACTAATATCTTTTTGACATGAAGTGCCAAAGTTGACATGCAGTGCCAAAGCCAGAACTTCGAGATTAGGGGGGCAATAATTATAGGGGTCATTTTATCTTAAATTTGTATCTTAGATAATTAAGAGATATGTAATAGAAAAACAATAATATTAGAGGGGCTAAGCCCCCTCTAGTCCCTCTCTGTCTTAGCCACCGTTAATAGCCCTCATGTACTCCTTGTCATTGTCCTTTGTCCTCTGGAATCATGGCCATAACCCTAGGAACTAGAACCACCATATGATGACGCTTTTTTTTTGGAAAGACTAAACGACGACCACAACAATTTCACTCTAAGCTCATGGGGCCTTTGATTAGCTCCTAATCCCTAATCGTTAATGCTTAAACCACATTCACAACTCTAAATGCTTAGCAAAGAAGTTCAACCCTAAACCCAAAGTCACTACTACATAAATGATTTGTGACAACACCTCTATTTTTCAGTAGGGGCGGCTCCCTCACTAGCCGTCCCTATAGAGCTAGCACTTGGGTCCCACCAGTCCAACCGCCCCTACAAATGGATCAGTAGAGACCGCTGAAACTACCAGCCGCCCCTGAAAATAGGTCCATTTTCAGGGGCGACTGGTAGTTCCAGCCACCTCTACTGCTCCATTTGTACGGGCGGCTGGTAGTTCTAGTCGTCTCTACTGCTCCATTTGTAGGAACGACTGGATAACCAGCCGCCCCTACTAATGTTGAGGGGTTGTTGTCGCGGGAATGGCCTAGCCCATGAAGGAAATGTGCCTTGGGCCTTATGCAAAAGCCTAAGGGCCTATTTGTAAATGATGTACTCATTAGGGGCTTGGTGGCAAACTACCAACCCCCTTCTTCTCAATATAAAGGACCCAATGGGTCATGAGAAGGTGACTCACTTGAACTCTTCTCACTTGCTCCCATGTTTTCGTCCCTTATTCGTCTCAGTTTTATCTTTTTAATCTTCTGCCTCTCTCTCTTCTCTGTTTGGAGGAGTAGCATCCTATCAAATAAGAACTAGAAAGTCTCTGAAATAGTTATTCCACATCTCATGGCCATCAAAATCACACCCTCTCATCTCGCACCCCCACCCATCAACACAATAAGAACCCACCCCCTCATCTACCTCTCCATCATATTGATATGGAAAATACAGGATTACTACCCACAAACAAAACAACACTATGTGAGTAAAGGAGCGAGTGTGAGTAAGTGGAGGAAGTGTGCACAGGCTAATAAAAGATTTATACTTCCTCAACCCAAATAAGTGAGACCTAATAATGAGTGAAAAACAAACAGAGAGAAATTATAAATATAAATACTAAAATGAGATGTGACCAATAATGAATAACAAAAATAAACATATTGTAGTATATACCATTGCAATTGAATATATTTTCCATCCTCTCTCATATACGTAAGGAATTTAAAGTCTTGTTTTGGAAATATAAAATTTGCAATGGGTGCAGTTTCAATATCCAAGTATTGACAACAATTCCCTTGCCTCCCTGACAAATTGATTCTAATTAGCATAATAATCATACAAAATGCATTCACATTTATTCTCATTAGAAAGACAAACTTACATCAAATCTGGAACCTATAAGCCATTAGACTTCAATAACTTTAAACTATTCCTCTCAACAAAATCTTACCCATTAAAATGTAGTGTGCTTGAGGCTCTCTAGCGTAAACAGCTACAAAGCTAGCTAAACCTTCTATCAGTCTTCTTATTGGTTTATCTTTCTCCATCAAAGTAAACATAATTTTTCTTTAAGATACCATCCATAATGGAAGAAAAGGATCGCTTATTGCATTCTATTATAAAGTCAAAATAGCTTATTGTGGGGTTAGATACGGTGGTATCATATAGCCCTCTTATAAAGATTTAAGATTAAAGATATAACTTTCATAAAAAAAGAAGGAGGCTTGGGCACCTCCCAAAAAGTGTTCTCCTAAGGCGAAGGTTTTAATTTCGATTCCTTTTGTGGAGGAGGTTGTAGAAGGTTAGTGCTTAATTAGAGTTTTGACTTTATCTCTCTTCTATAATGGTTGAACCATTTATGGAGCAAATTAGACCAAAGTTTTGAAGGTACTAGAGTAAATTAATTAGGGGAACAATATTGTACCCTTGTGTAAGTGCATCTAGCCCTTTTGTGGGTTTTGGTGAATTGAATGATAACACCATTAAAGGTCTAATAAGTTTGCTAAGTGTTGAACAGGAAATTGAGTTTATTGCATACACTTGTGGATCGTGAAATGAGAAGTGTATATTGGTTCAACAAGAAGACAAACTTGATGATATTTCACATAATGTTCAAATCAAGGCTGAAATTATGTATTGTTGTGTTGGAAGATCATGGAAACAATATAGTTCAAGAAAAGGACAATAATGCAAATGGAGTTGATGAAATGGCTTCTATGTTGTGGGATATCATAGTATCATGAGAAAGCAAGCATATTTAGCAAATGGTAAATGAGACATGAGTTGATGATTTTGGATTAGTCTCAAGAATGGCTTGTTTTTCATGAACAACAAGAGTTTGATATATAGTGGATTAGCTTTGATCAAGGATTGAAGAATGAGTCAAGAATGCATAAGTGAAGAAATACCAAGCAAAGGTTAAATGAAAAAGGACACAACTCATATTGGATATAAGACGGTCTCTATGTTGGTTTGCTTGTATGGATAAAGATTTGGAAAATCACTTTGCATTGATTTGATCAAGCTAGAAGTATAAAGATAGATATTGAAGTAAATGTTAGGAATGTCAAGCCAAAATAAAAAGGATATAAGGAATCATGAATTGGCTTGACCATATTGATGTTGATTCATATATGTCTCTGTGTGATCAACCTAAAGCTTGATTGATCTCAACATTTATATCTAGAAGATATTCAAGTAAGGGTCACAATATTGAAGAAATGGTTTTCCAATGGATGTTTAATATGATGTGACTTGAGGATGGCTCGATAGGATGAAGATAGCAAGAAAAGGGCTTCGAGGGACTAAGCGAAGGTGAAGGGCAAGCAATGGCTTGAGAACCGAGGTACCATGGCTAAGTGAAGAAGATAGTACTTGCATTGAGTCGAGGAACTAATTGAGCTATGAGGAGTCATATTATGTTGAGGATCAAATCATTAGTGGAGGTGACTTAAAGCCATGAGGAGAACTCATATATATGGAAATGGTTCAAGTCACATGCTCAAGGTATGTTTGCTCAAAGAGAGGAGACAAAGATGGTTGCAGCCCATTATGAAGTGATATTGAGAAGAAATGGCATATGAAGACATTGAAGACTCAAGTGGTTAAAATAGTTATATTCTCTTGATCATGAGTATAGGTATGTCGTACTATCAAGGGGGATGCAATACGAATCATAGATAAGTCTCAGGTGCTCAAACTAACCGAACCCAAATGCTAATATGAGATAAAATACTTAGCACAACACCTGTACTTTCTGATCTTAGGGTTTGTTCTTGGCTGG